TCATCTTTATCCCCTTTAACTCCAAAGGAACACGGCTTATCACATGAATGAAAAGTCGGTCACTTTGGAAATGAGCAATTGCTGTGGATGTTAAGCCAGTCTTCCTGGGGTGCTCTCTGGGGCCAGAGGGCACCTCCTTGTCTCAGGGTCCAGTGAGGAAAGCCACGTTCTGCCCCAGCCTTGAACAGCCCTGGAAGGACAAAAGTGCATTCATTATCTGTCAGCATGATTCAAACCAGATAAAAACGCAACCTTCCTCCCCAAAGGACATGAGAACTTGATGCCTAATGTTAATGAATTATGTGTTCCTGGGTCTTTTTTTTTTTTAATTCTATCTTCATTTCTCATCAGCACAAAAGAATGTTCTTTCTCTTTCTGACTTTACCAGAAATGACACTTGACTTGTGCACGAAAAGCTAAGATAAGTTTCTAAGTAAAGGAAGAACCATCATTCTCTCGCTATACGTTGACGGCTAACTGGGGAAAGCCATCTGCAATCAGAATGTACCACATCCTTCCCATGAAAAACCCGCTGTGTGCAATGCTCTGTTGTCCCGAGCCTGTTCCCCCAGCATCCCTGGGGTCGGTCAAAGGTCAAGTTCTTCCAGCCGCTGAGAGTGAAGAGGTCACCAAGAAGGTTTTCTGATTAACCAGAAAAAGCAAAGGCCCTTCCTCAAAGTGCTCCCCCACCCCAGCTCACACTCCAATAAGAAGAAAGAGGCAGACGTGGGGGAGAACCATCAGGTAGGTACTGACTGTGAACACGTGTGAGGAAGAGTCCAGAGCCACAGCCTCAAGTGGGAAACCAGGTGGACAGCCTCTATTGCTGGCTTTCCCTCCCCTCACATGTCATCAGGAACCAAAGTCTGTGGATCCCACCTTGGGTCCATCCCAATCCATCTTTGTGCACTCACCACATAAAAAAAAAAAGCAGCTCTATTGAGATAAAATTCAGATACCATGCATTTAAAGTATAGTGCACAATTCAGGTTTTTAAATATATATATAATATATGCACGAGGTTGCACAACCCTTCACCCCTATCTAATTCCAGAGCATTTTCATCACCTCCCCCTAAACCAGCCATCCATCACTTTCCATTTCTCTTAATTAGTGATCACCAATCCACTTTCTGTCTCTATAGATTTGCCACTTCTGGATATTTCATATAAACAGAGTCATACAAAATGTGGTTCTCTGCATCTGATTTCTTTTACTTAATGCTTTCAAAGTTCATCTGAGTTGTAGCATTCGTGTGTGTACTTCATTCCTTTTCATGTCTGACTAATATTCCATCGAACACCATGTTCTGCTGATCCACCCATTAGTGGGTGGACGTCTGGGTTGTCTCCACCCTTTGGTCACTGTAAACAATATTGCTCCTAGCAGCTGCTGTGTACCAGGTGCTGGGGGACGCATGTTTTCATTTCTCTTTGGTCAATACCTGGGGGTGGAATTACTGGGTCATACAAGAACATGTGTCTCGCCCCACAGACACCATCAGAGGCTTGTACAGGAAGCCAGAGGGATGGAGTCCTGTCCAGTCAGCTGGTACTGAAGCGTCAGCTGGGGCACAGCTCTCACTGCTGCAGAAGCTCATTACACTTGGAAAGAAGCACAGCTTTGGTCCAGAAGGTTCAGAGGTGTCTCCCCTCGTCTTCCTCCCCACCCCCACTGATTATTCTCCAGTCACCGTGGCCTCCCTTGGTCACCAGCTCTCTCTTGCCCTGAGCCTCTGCAGACACCATTTATTTATTTTTTAAACGTATTTTTAGTTAGGGGATAATTGCTTTAAAATACTGTGCTGGCTTCTGCCATGCCGCGTGAATCAGCTGTAAGCATCCATACGTCCCCTCCTCTCTGAACCTCCCTCCCACCGCCCCCACCCCACCCCCAGGTTGTCACGCAATGCCGAGAGGAGCTCCCTGGGCTATAGAGCAACTTCCCGTAGCGATTTTACATATAATAATACGGATGCTCTAATGCCACTCTCTCAGTTCGTCCCACCCTCTCCTTCCCCCTGCTATGTCCAAAAATCTGTTCTGTGTCTGTGTCTCTCTTCCTCCCTGCAAATATGTTCATCAGTACCATTTTTCTAGATTCCGTATATATGTGCTAATAGATCATACTTGTTTTTCTCTTTCTGACTTACTTCACTCTCACACCATTTATTTTGCTTTCTCTTCTTAGATTAGAACATGCCATTCTTCACAAAGCCAGCCAAATGAATGAGTAAATAAACTGAATTCAGTATATTTAATATATTAACTTGCTCAAGGCCACGCAGCTGGTTGATGGCAGACTCCCCACCGGATTCTTGCATCAAAGGCTTCCTCTTGTTTGTTTGTTTTAAACCTCTCCTCCTTCTAGGTGACCATCTAATATATCAACCTGTATTACAGACCTTTCTATTAACCTCTGGATCAAGCCTTCCTGACCTCAGCACTGTGGATATTTGGGGTTGGATAATTCTTGGTGGAGGAGGTTATCCTGTGCATTGATGTAGGGCGTTTCTGGATTCCTAGCTTCCATGCGCTGGATGCCAGTGGCAACCCCTGCCCCCCAAAGCTCCCAGTTGTAACAACCCCAAATCCCTCTGGCCATTGCCAAAGTCCTGCCGGGGACAAAATCTTCCAGTAGAGATCCACTGCTCTATAGCTGTTGTCTTCTTCAAAGAATGTTGGAGCTGAGACTAGTCAAGGGCCCTTCCCAATCCCTACTTACCAAATAAAATTCTACCCAATTCCCTCCCTTTAAAAAAAAGAAAAAAATTAAATACTCATTTAGGATTTTTAGTTGCAGCATGTGAACGCTTAGCTGCGGCACATGGGATCTAGTTCCCTGATCAGAAATCAGACTCGGGACCCCTGCTTTGGGAGTGTGGAATCTTAGCTGCTGGGCCACTAGTGATGTCCCAATTCCCCTTTAATAAAGCAAGAGATGAGAGCTTCTGTGAATTTTAGAAGAAATGCGAAAAAGGTTGAAAATCATGAGTCTGCAATTGATCCACAGTGAATGAGAATCTTTGATACGCCAGGTTCCTCATTCTTCCAGAATTTTGGTCCATAAATACCAACTTGGTGGGATCCTAACCCTCCTGGATCAGGCAGGCAGGGTGATCTTGTCCCTTGAGCCATTTCCTCAAAGTACTTTCCTGGGCAGTGTGGATCATCCTTTTCAGAGATCAGAACTTCAGAGTCACAGGAAGGGGCAAGAGATGAACAACAGAAGGAGACCCTGTGACAAAGGGGTCCATTTTAAGCGCTCATGTTCATGTTCAACAGCTTGTATCTCCCTGCATCCTCAGTCTGAGGACCGAGTCTGAGAAGCTGAAATGAACACGACTGCTCCCTCTGAGCCAGTGGCTTTGCAAACCAGGATGCTCCCTGCTCCTGCAATGCTGTTCAAACTTGGATGCAACCAGGGGCTTCATTAGTAACCCCCGGGAAAATATGAGTCTTCTTAGCTGGAGATGACCAAATAATAAGATTCATCTTTTTCCCCCTGGCAGAATCAATAAATTTGCATGATGCATATTAAATGTTTAATTAAAAACCCAATGCAAAAGCATTTTCAGGAAGTTATAAAAGGCCTTTGGAGGAGGTCTGGAAGCCAGGGGCTCTTGGAAGTTTATCAAGCATGCCGCTTCCCATCAGACACCAGGTTTCGGCTTTGTTTTGTTTCTCTCTGGTGCCTGAGTTGTTTTGCTCAGAGGACTGCTAACACAACAAAGATCTGAGACGTTAAGGGTCCAACCACCAAACTCCCTCCAGCCAGAGTCCATCTCCCTGCCTCGCCTGCAGGGGGAAGGGAGTTGGGCGCTGAGAGCAGAGCTCATGTTGGAGAAACATCAAGATCCCAAGAGCAATTTGAAGCTGAAGGGGAAAGTGCTTAGACACAGAATTCAGCTCCTTTGGCTATAATTGCCAGTAAGACTTCCTGGGGCCTCAGGACTGATTAGAGAAGCTGGGCTCAGATGACGCCCCCCAGGTACTCTGATGCTGCAGGATGAAACCTTATTTAGTAGCTGTATTAATTGAGTCCTCACTCCGCGTGGATGGATGGAATTCATATCAGGATGCCCCCTCGCTGCTGGAGATGTCCCTTGCTGCTTGCCTCTGCCCTCCAAGATGGGTACTCACCTCATTGCTGATTTTTTCCCCCATTTACTCATTCACTCCTGCATTCATTCATGTGCTCACTTCTTCCATTAAAGCCGATTTGGAACCTTCTGTATGTGTCCTAAAGTCAACCCTGGTCTCCTAAACGCCAGGCACCGTTCTAAGCAATTTACACGCACCATCGTCTCTAACCTCCAGGAGTCTTTTGGAAGCAGACGGTTTGCTCCAGCTGGAAACAGGAGGAGAAGTTGGAGAGATGCAATGCCCAAGAAGGATCTGACCTGCTGTCATTGACGCGAAGATACCAGTGGGGCGGGGGAGGCTGGATGTGATACGGAAGGTGGTGCTCCCCAGCCGCAGATTGTGGTTCCCCCTGACAGTCAGACCTCATTTCCACCGCTACAGAGAAATTCATTCTGCCAACAATCTGAGTGAGCTTGAAAGCAGATTCTTCCCCAGGGCCTCCAGTGAAGTGCTTGGCACCCTGACCTTGGCCTTGGACGAGCCCCTGCAGGGTTGAGCCCACTCGGACTCCAGAGCAGTGGAGCCGTGCGGTCACTGCTGGGCACCGTCTTCGCTGTGCAGCGCTCACGGTCACCTTGGCTGATGGACTCGTCTCAGGCTCACGATGAGCCACCAAACTGAATATCGTTCTCTCTTATAGGTGAAGACACTGGTGTTCAGAGGAGTTAAGCCCACACAGATTGGGGTCAGGGCGGGAGGGAGAGATCCTACCTACATGGCCTGCTGGCTGCATTTCCGAGGTTTCTTGACCCGTCTGTTCAACGGGCCTCACAAAGTTCCAGGGTGGGTGGATGAATGGTCATCCTCTGCGGGACCCTCTGGCACTGGCAGTGAGGGACCCCAGAGGTTGGAAGGATGCGGGATGGATGTCCCATACAGCCTCTGGGTGTGAGGAGCAGCAGCCTGGTGGGCCAGAGCCGGACGGTGGAGGCTGCAGGGAAGAGGGGAGCAGGTGGGATCGGAGGAGCCAACAAAGGAGAGAGAACGGGGACAGCGGTGAGGTCAGGATGCGGCAGCCTGGTCCATGGCCAAGAACACACAGCCCAAAGGCCCCCGGTGGCAGCAGGCTCTGTGATGGGGCACCTCCCGTCCTGGGGAGAGGGGCCATCCCCCAGGCCGACCTCTGACGGCTGACACTCAAGGCTGCCGTGGCCCCTGCCGGCCACTACCGCTCGGCTGGCCTCCACACTGTCCGTGCTGGGGGGCAGAGGTCACACATCAAAGCGCTTTGTCCTGGCACGCGCTCCGTGGCTCACCTGACCCTTACCTTCCGGGAGCAGGCCAGCTGTGCTCTGGAGAAAGATGAAGCCGAAGCATAAGGAGCAAGGTTCTAAGACTTGGCCTCTCGAGCATCTTTAGAAATCATAGTCATCCTTGCCTTTTCTGATTACGACAGTGTTTTCTGCTCCTTACAGAAATGTTGGAAAGTACAAAAAAAGGAGAAAGAAAAAAGGGAAGAGAGCCACTTAGAAACAGTGGTTGTTGATAGGGTTGTCCTCTAAGCTATTTTTTGGGGTAATGAACATACAAAATGTATACACAAGTATGCAGGTGTAAGATGAAAGGGCAGGATTGGCCTGGTCACTGAGTAGCTTTGAGAGTACACCTCAATTGGCCACTTAACACTTAATCATGTGATCATGAAAGAATTTATTTATTTCCTTTATTGAGGGACTTTAAAATACTTTCTTTTTTTTGGTAATATACATACAGCTTTGATCTCTACCCTTGTCCATAATTTCTGAACATCTGATCATTTCCACAAGAGAGAGAGAAAAGATGGGTTACCAGGCTGTGATGGTCAATTTCGTGTGTCAGCTTCAGTGACACCAGCTTACCCAGAGGAAACTTTACTTCGGGGGTGTGAGAATGTTTCTGGAGGAGCTCATTAGCATCTGAACCTGTGGACCCAGTAAAGTAGATGCCCTCCCCAGTGCGGGCGGGCACCAGGGGGATCTGCTGAGGAGCTGAGTAGGACAAAAGGCAGAGGAAAGTGGGATGCACCGCCCCCACACACCCAACCTGGTCCTCTTCTGAGCTGGGATATCTCTCTTCACCTCTCCCTTCGGACTGGGATCAACACAGTTGGTTCCTGGGGTGCTCAGACTGAATGATACCTCTCGTTTTCCTGGGTCTCCACCTTGCAGATTATTGGAGAAACGTACAGGTATCCAATAAGATACATACACCTACTCTATGGGGTCTCTTTCTCTGAAGAGCCCTGACTAATATCTAGGCTAACAGGTATACATATTTTGGAGTGTTGATATGACAAAGTACTCTCTACAAAACTTGTATCTGTCTTCCCACACAGAAATGTAATGTGTCGCTAACGTACTTTGCAACATCATTTTTAAACATCAACATCCATATGAATGACAGCACCTCTCCTGGTTCAAGAGGGAGGGGGCATATGTATACCTATGGCTGATTCATGTTGATGTTTGACCGAAAACAAAATTCTGTAAAGCAATTATCCTCTAGTTAAAAAATAAATCAGTTAAAAAAAATAAATGCACACCAAAAGCCTGCCCTGGATCGTTTCCTTTGATAACCCCTCCACATACTTGCCACACACAGTCCCCTGCAGCCCAGCCAGGAACAGCCCTCAAGTGTCTCCAAATAAAAATAAATAAATAAATAAGCAAAAGGACTAACTGGGCAACTCTCTCTTTATGCATCTACATTGTTTACAAAGATGACCATGTTCATCTGATTACACATGACAGCATTCAAATGAAGATCAAATGCCAAATAACCTTGACTTCAAAATACAGGGCATTTTTTGAGAGCTTTGCTTACATCTCTGTCTGAACAGTTTTCCAGTTAACTTTGTCCATGAGCTCCTATGCCTGGTTCACAGCTCAAGAACAGCAGGATCACTTAGCTGAACCTCTTTGATGACCAGAAGGAGGAGAGAGAACGAAGCTGACTGAGGATGCGGTGCATGCTGTCCTCTGCACCAGGCTCCACTGTGGATGTGACTTTTTTTTTTTTTTTTTTAGGTTGAACGGATACTCTTTTCTACATTTCTGCGCCTGGGGAAATCAAGGTCAAACTTCAGATGTTTGCCAAGGCTGGAGAACCAGGATTGCCCACAGAGAGGAGACCTGACCAGAGGCCTGTCTGCTCCCAGCCCCACACCCCATCGGCATTCTGTCCCTTGTCCCAGGACCCTAGAAACAGGTCCTGAAGCAGGTCACCGCCCACAGCAGCACCCGCAGCACACGGGTAAGGTCCTTCCTCCCCGCTGTTTAGAGCCCCCTCCCTTCCTGCCTTTTTAGGTCGGCTCCCAGATGGACCACCTGAACCCAGGCACCCATGGTGGCCTTAGCTGCTGCAGTGGGAGGGGTGGGGGGGTGGGGGGGGTGTCTCCAAACAGAGACGTCAGCCCAGAGGACCTGAGCCCCAGAATGAGCTGCGGGAACACGGCATGGCTCGGGTGCTGTTCCTCCTTTCCTGCTCCACTCTTTGGGTCCCCAGAGGGGACTGCGTGTGCCCTGCCGTGCAAAACCTCTCCGGGGAGCGGCACCTGCTCCAGAGGTCTCGCCTCCCTGCCAGCTGGGCCTACGCACGACCACGAGTGAGTCACAAGTGAAAGATGGAAGCGTCTCCCCCGGCTTCTGGGGCCTGGGTCCCCAAACCACATCTCTGTTTTCATGTATGTGTTGGGATGATTCAGCGGAAACTTCTGGTCAAACGGATCACCATAGCAACTTTCAGTAGACATCCAGCATGCAAATGAGATGGTGGAAAAGGCTGCTTTCTCCAAAGCCCCAGAGCGTCCTCCTCGGAACCTGCTGGGGATTGAATTCTAGACCCTTTGAAGGTTTCACGCAGAGTCTGTGTCAAGGCAGGTCGGCACCTGGCTAGGTCTGCTGGTGTCTTCAGATGCTGAGGTGAGAAAAACAAAGTCCCCGGGTGGTTTCCATGCCCTGAACTGTTCATCTCACAGGGAAGACGTCTACAGGGGAGCTGGGGGTTCACATTTTCTGTGTCATTTACGAGCCTCAGGATCCTGGCCAAACTACGCAGACTCTTTGAGTGCCAGGGTTTTCATCTGTAAAACGGGGCTACAGGTGCTTTATGATGTGTCTGAAATGAGGACTGGAAAACGCTTTGCATGTATTAGTCCCTCAATAAGTGGTGGTTCCTGTACCGCCCTTGTTGGACCTTATGAAGCTTATTTTCTTTCTTCAGGGCCCATCTTTAATCCAATGCCAGTTACACGAAAACTGCGGCGTTGATCGCTAGGGATGTAAATGTCATGTGGCATCCGCTCTCAAGGGGCTCAAGAGCTGCTAAGAAGAGGGTAAAAGGGGGTCACAGGCATTAGGCAGGGCAGTGGGTCAAACAGGCTTGAATTAATCCTGAATGAGCTCTCTCACTTAGAAAACTGCCCTACGCAGATTTCAATGTGAAAAGTCAATGAGGTGTTGGAGAAAGAGAAGTGATTTTATTTTATCAACACATTTTTGACTGTACCAGACAGGAATATCTTTGGCTACAAGAAACAGAATAATTAATTAATGGGGATTTAGGTTTCCCTGGTGGCTCATGAATAAAGAATCTGCCTGCCAGTGCAGAAGACTTGAGTTTGATTCCTGGGTCAGGAAGATCCCCTGGAAAAGGAAATGGCAACCCACTCCAGTATTCTGGGAGATCCCATGGATGCAGAGCCTGGGGGGCTACAGTCCATGGGATCACAAAGAGTTGGTTACGACTGAGCTACTAAACAACAATAAAGAAGGGTTAATACACTCTCTCACATACACACACACAAATACACAAACAATTCTGGAGGTAGTTGATTGATATCAGTAGTTCAGTGGCTTACAATTATTAAGGTCATCACCTCACTGTCCCTGCAATTCTCATCTTTCCCTCCTTGCTATCACCTCCCTTTCCCAAGGTTGCTGCCGAAGTACCAGCCATCATGTTTGCATTTCAAGATGGTAAAAACAAAAGGGAAATTGACAGTACCATTGGAATGTTTATCTTACTTTTGAGAAATGAGTCATAAAGGCATTCCTAGCTATAAGAATACTGACTGAGCAAAGTGACTTTTTTTTTTCTTTTTGCATAATCAGCTTCTATAGCAGAGACAGATAAAATTGAAGGAGCTAAAGCAGTCAACCTATACTACCTGATGTATTCCCTTCAGAGTCATTTATGTTAGGACTATCCATTTAAATATGATTTGTACAGAATTTGTGATATAATTCTAGAATTAGGCAAAGAAACTGCCTCTACTTTGAAGAGTTTAGATGTGGGTAAGTACTCTTTGCCTTCCTCTCTGAAGTCCCAGAAGACTGTCTTGCCTTCCTTCAAAAATCACAAGCTGAATAGTCATCATTTCCCAAGCTCTTGGTACACGGATGGCACCGGGGTAATCCCTGCAGAAGGACAACGAACTGTACAAAAGCCACACTTCCTGACCCAGGAACTCCCCGCCTAGCTGGGAGGCCACCGTTACACCGACCAGCTGGGAGCACGTACGCTGGGTTATTGCATGACGGCTCTCAAGCTGTTTTCATACAGCCTCTGCAGACTTTGAGAGCCTGATGAGAAGTAAGACTGGGTAGTCGCCTCATCACTTAACCTGATGAAATGTCACATCATCCCCCTTGACTGAGGACCCCAAGGAGGAAGCATGTGTGTAAGCCACAGGGTCTGCGCTCTGCCCCTTCGCATAGCTCAGCTCTGATTCGGGGGTCTGGAGTTTGTGGGGTGGCTGGGGAAGGCAGGAAGATCCCGGTGAGGTATGACAAAGGAGGCCCCGCTCCGGGGGGTACCTCTGGGCGCCTGGGAGAAGCACACCCATGTGACTCTACCTGACCCATAACTTTGTGTCTCTTGGGTCCTGGCAAGAAGGTGGACCTGGGGAAGCAAGAGGAGTTTGAATAAAGGGAATACTGATAAGGCCCAGGAACACAGGGAACAGCGAAGACTTAAGAGGAAGTGCAGCTTCCTGGGGCGTCCAACCCCAGGGAGCCAGGACCACCTCCTGCTGCTGGGAAATGTAAGGAAAAGCGGGGTGACTCCCAGACTCAGAGGAGAAGGGGAAGGAGAGGGAGAAAGAGCCAGACACAGACAGGGCGATACAGGGAGAGAGGAGCAGGGGGCAGAGGGGAGAGAGAGGGGGCTGATGGACAGGGCAGCCTGCCCCTGACTCGAGCCCTGACCTTCAGTCAAGGACACAAGTGATCCCGAGGGCAGGGAGACAGGGGTGCACACTCCCCACCCCCCACCCAGTGTTACTCAGAGGCCTGACCCACAGGGAGGCCAGCGGGCTTGGGGAGCTCGCCCACATGCTCATCTCTGCCTCCTGGAGCCTAGACCCGCGTAGAGAGAAGCAGAGCCTGGACCCGGTGGGGTGGAGCGGGGGTGGGAGGGGAGGTGGCATGCAACAGGGACACAAAACTGAATCCGGGGAAAGAAGCTGCTGACACCCCTCCCCTGGCCCCTGTGTGCCCACAGTGATCTCCACCAGCGAATGTTCCAGAAGCTTCTGCAGAGCCCTTGAGGATGGGGCTCCTGCGTAGAATATAGCCCCTTGGCCGCGGTGAGCTCTGCCTTCATACTCGGCACCTGACTGCCCACCCAACCTCACCATCCGGCCCAGGCTCTGAATGTCCTGACAGAAGGTCAGAAATAGTCTCAGTCGTGCCTCCTCTTAAAAACCCCCAGGAAAAAAAAAAAAAAAAACCAGAGTTACCCTCTGTGGATGAACATACACCGCCAGTTTTGTCACTGTGCCTTTTTCATTAATAAAGTATATGATCCAGAGACTTGCCTGATGGTCCAGTGGCTAAGACTGTGCTCCTAACGCAGGGGGCCCCGGGTTCGATTCCTGCTCAGGGAGCCAGATCCCACGTGCCGAGACTAAGCGCTCACACACTGCAACTAAAGATTCCGTGTGCCACAACGAAGACCCTGTGCAGCCAAATAAACCCAAATAAACATATATTAAAAAAAGACAGTACATTACAAAGTAACTTACATGATCTAAGCCGTAGAAATCTATATCTCCTTAAAGGGATTTGGGTGGAACGAATGGTGTGTCAGAGGGAGATATTTATATGTTTCTTTAAATCACTCCATGCATGGAGGAAGGGCATGGTCGGCAGACGGTCAGGGATATTTAAAACAAATGGCTAGTGACAAAAGACAGGGAAAAGCGTGCAGACACATCAATTATAAATGAATATGTTACGTGTATGTTCATTTAATGATGTGTTTGCACTGGGGGCCAATCGACTCAGTCACAATAGAGGCTACCTCCAGTAGCCACATCCGCAGGTTAACGTGTTTCTTTCAAGATAACAGAATGAAAGTGATGCTGGAGGATTCTGGGCCGCTCTTCCAAGCTGCTCCTACCCCGAGGACGAGGTGTAGCTTCCTGGCGCTTGGGAAAAGTGCTTTTGGGAGTGGCCAGGTGTGTTCTGGTGCCTGAACTGGAGGCCTGGCCTCTTGGAGGATCACCAACAATCCCAACATCAAGTTTCAGGTTTGGCAAGAGGCACATAAAAGTGTTCTCAAGGCACAGTGTTCAAGAAAAAACCACCTCAGCCACCCAGGCGTCAAGGGAGATGGGCTCTGCCTCTCTCAGAAGGGTGGGACGTGGGCTGGGATTCTTCGGGAGCGGGTGTTGCCTCTGGCATGAGATGTGGGCCACCAGATAGCATCGCCCGGGACATTAACATGGCGGCAGAGAGCTCGTGGGCTGTTCACGTGGGGCCCGGCGGAAAGATGGAAACAGATCAAATAATTTTGACGGAGCAGGTTTCAATCCTCCACCCCTCCCTCCTTGTCAGCACCATTCTGAGAGACAGAGATAGAGAGACAGAGAGAAAAAGACAAAGGCAGAGGTGGAAAGAGTGAGAGACAGAGAGAGACCCCAGCCTGCGAGAGCAGTCAATCATAGGCTGGGACATGCCAGCGGGTGGAGAGGATCTCAGAAGCAAGCACGTTCTCTCACCCTTGGACACGTCTTGATCATCCTCATCTCGGCGCTGAGCCCCGTCCTCCCAGAGGTTTCCAGGCTGTGGACGGACAGACAAGCAAGTCTGAGCTTACGAAAGGAATAACACATCCTGTGACACGTACGCTGAAACGCTCCAGGGCCGGCGCCAAGCTGAATCTCAGTCAGGGCACGGGCCCTGGGTGTCAGAAAGACAGGTCGCCCACCTGTGTTATTTTCCATTGAAGGCAAATCAGTTGTTATCACGGGAACAGCTGAACTTCGCTCATTAACTTCCAGCCTGAGAGTGTTGCCATTCCTAAATACTTGCAGGGTAATCTTTCATCTTACAGTTCTCAGAGTCTCTAAAAGGTTACGTATGGAAACACAGATCCCCCAGACCTGGAGGTTTGGGGGGATATTTCTAAGAGAGGGTGATGCCTGGAATGAGCTACTTATGCTTTACAACAAACAGACTGAGTGGAAGAAATAGCATGCTGAGCAGCCTGCAGGCTGGCATCCTGGATTCATCCTCCCAGGGTTTCCAAGCCATCACTTCCCATCCTTGTCCAAGTTCCTGTTGGGATGGGAGGGGACAGCTGGCGGTGGCCTGTAGGGTGTCAACATTAGACGGCCCTGGACTGCACACGGCACAGACTCTGGCCTTGACTGAGGGCTCCAGAAATGTTAGGCCTGTCGCTGTCCCTGAGGTTCATTTATTATTAGAGACACTTGTCTCTTGGAAACGCAGACTGTTGATATTCTTGCTCCACAGCCTAGGAGGAGGCAGTGTGGGGCAGCCAGGATTCACAGAGCCACACCCATTCATGCACCCGGCAGTCACGAAACACCTGCTTTGTGGAAGGTGCAGAGCCCGGGGGGAGAGCCTGCAGTGGGCCTCATCTGACCTTGGGCCCCCTGCCTGCCGAGTAACCCCCGAGGCAGAACAGGCTGGACTTACTTCTGACACGGACGGGAAAGCCCTCGGAGAACGAGCGTGCACCGGTGAGTGGTAGTGGAGACCCAGAGCTCAGGCTGAGAATGACCCTCGAAGCCATTCAGCTCCCCCAAAACAGAAGCTCCCTCTGCAAAACTCTCCCAAATGAACCTCACGCTGAAGCCAGGGCATCACTGTTTTGCTCTTTGCAAAAATCTCCATCAGGAGCCTTCATGCTGCTGCCGATGGTGCGTTAGGAAATACTGAGGAGCCAGCGCAAGAAAGAGCCGTGCACCGAGCATCCGCTGTGTGCCAAGTCCTGGCATTTCCGATGCATGCCCTGCTCTCGTCTTTTTAATTCTGGGTAGTTGGTGGAATTACCTCCCCACATTAAGGATGCAAAAATGGATGCCGACAGAGGTTAATTTTCTTCCTGGACATCCCAGAGCAGATCAGGGCTTTGTGAGAACTTCGCTCTTCTTGGCTTTATCCAGACCTTTCCTTCTCCTCCTACTTACTGCAAAATTGGACCAGGACAGTTACCCTGGACTTTAGCCAAAGGACCGCTATGAAACCACGGAAGGGAATGGCCCCAAGCTGTCTGCACACACTGACTCCTTTCTGTGGCCTTTCCGCAGAACGTGTGTTGTCCTGGGGAGAATCCCAAGTAGACTTGTGGCCAGAGAGGTCAACCTTTGACCTTGCAGGTCTAGAGTTTGTAGAAAGGACTTAGGTTGCCCGAGATGCGGGAAGGTGATTACAACAGTGAGGTGGAGGAAGCCAGAAAGCAGCGGAGCCAAGGAAATGTTTGCTCGGGCAAAAGGTATCTGAGGACTCCTTAGAAGGTTCCAGTGGTCTCAAAGCCGTGGGATACATGCCCATTACATCATTACCCTATTTCTGGACACCACAGACCCAGCCGCATAGCCTGAGAAGGAAAACAGCCTGTGTTCAGAGTAAATAGTTAACACTTCTGGGCTGGAAGAGATGATTATTCAAAAGTTGGTCCCCACATACAAATGCAAATAACATCCAAAGACACATGAATGCTAATTTCTCCAACGAAGTCTGGAGACAAATGCTAGTCATTAGAAACATTTCCGCGCATTTATATTAGGCCGTCCTCTAAAAGACTTTTCAGACAAATATGTCATCAAGATATTCAAAACCATGTAATCTTATCCAAAGTTTCATCTATCAACAGTACAGTTTTCATCTCTTGCAGCTGTGTGTCAGAACGCTGGGGGAGATTACTCAGCTGATACGGCCGAGCCGGGAGGGGCCGAAGAGAAGTCTTGGGGGTCCGCAGCGCGCCCTGACAGGAAGATCTGGGTTTTCAGAGTGGGTTAGGTCTCTTGGTGACAGGTGAGAGACCCGAGGCAGATGAGGGATGACCTCTAACAGGGCAGAGAAGAAGCACCTCAGGGGTGTCTCCCTCCACCTTCCTGCCTTCTTCACACACAAGCATTACTGAGATGGCCGATTAACTTAGAAGCAGAGCCCCTGGGAGCTCGAGACCCTACCTGCACCACCTTCTTCTGCAAGAGAGAACCTCAGGCCCGAACACCGCTCCCGGGAGGCTTGGGTGAGGGCAGAGGCTTAGGGTGAAGTGACAGGAGGGCTTGGCATTAAGCCATTTCTCTGAGCCTGTGAGCATGTGTGCACTCTTACCATCTCTCCTTTCCTTCTTCTCTCATCCCTGCTTCCCTGCCCTTTTCTTTTTGGGAAGGGTATTTGGTGAGAATAGTGCCCAGAGGGAGGCTTCATGCCATCCCTAGGCCTGCAAAAGTTGCTGTTATTTGATTGTTTCCTGGGGGACCATTTGTGGTTGGGTGACTGTATCTAGTGTGTGGCTGGTGGTGGTTTTTGGCAGTGATGGAAGGACATTTCTCAGTAATTACACATGTATTAAATGAATCCATTAAATAACTTACGTATCTGTTAATCCACTTATTCATCAGCAGGAATATTCATCCATCCATCCATCTGCTACTCATCGATAACAAAGTCTGAAGAACCGTCCGTATGGCACTACCATTAATTCCAGTTCTGTGGTCAGGGAAACAGGAGTAGAGAGGTTACTAAATCAGACCAAGATCCCCAAGCTAACAGAGGAAATGCTGAGACAGACTCATCTACCCTCTGGTTCACTCCATTCAATCCTCAGCCAACCATTTCTTGACTGCCTGCCTTGTCCCAGATACCAAGTCCAGGTACAACAGGAAGGTAAAGATGTTTCTAATTGGCCCCTGTCCTCAAGGAGCTCACATTCTTAAATCAACACCAAATGCTATGAGGCTGGCATGAGCCCTGTGCCCTGAAATAGTAAGCTGTAAGCTGGTGCAAAAACCCATCAGCTGTGGTGCCAGGGGACATTGCTAGGGGGTGACTGAGGTCATGGGTCTCAACCACCCAGCTTCCACGGGGGTCCTGTCTGAAGGGTACCTTGGTGCTGTAAATCCCATGCTAACAGCTGCTGCTTTGAAGGAGGCTCAGGAAAGGACAGGCAGAGGAAGGCCCAGCTGCTCTGTGGGTGGTTTGTGATGGCTGCACTGGTCCTCCGGACAACGCTGAGGGGATGATCTGTGATGGGTGTGTCCTGCAAGCCGAGGGCATGGAGGTTCGTATAAAGAATCACCAAACTGTGCAGAATATTCTCAGGGGGAGAAACAATGTGAGCAAGGACACCCAGGCATGAATGGCGATGGGCTGGTAGAGCAAGGTGGTTACACTGCTGAAGAACAGGTAACACACGACGGGGTGACTCATGGAGGAACCAGGGAGACATCTGAACAGTCAGCACAAGAGCTCATGGTGGGGGAATTCCCTGGAGCTTCAGGAGTTAAGACTTTGCCTTCCAGTGCTGGGAGTGGGGGGTCAGGGCCTGGATGGGGAGCTGAGATCTCTCATGACTCATGGCCAAAAAAACAAAACAACAACAACAAAAAAACCAGAAGCAATACAGCAGCAAGTTCTATAACTTTGAAAATGATTCACCTTAAAAAAAAAACAAAACAAAATGAACCCATGGAGACTGGTCTCATAGGCCAGCTGAAGAGTCTGGACCTTAGGGGATCCACAAAGTGGGCAAGGAAGATACATATCCAGGTTCGTGGTTCAGGAAAGAATACTTGACAGTGAATTGGCAGGTCCTGAGGCAGGAGCACTGGTTAGTTGGTTCTTGCAGTTGTTTCAAAGGAGACCTATCTTAGACTCAAGGAGTGGGAGCATGAGAGCTCACAGCAAACTCTTAAAGTATTTGAAAAGTAGAATGGATAAGACGTATGATTGGTTGGAGTATTGAATGAAGGAGAGAGAAGAGCTAAGCTCAATTCTCAGGCTTCAAACTTGAAATCTGTGTAAACAGTTATTTTTCAGCCTCACTAGGGACCATGAGAGAAGAAGCCAGCTTTGGGGAGTCTTGAGAGGCCAATGGGATACCCCAGTGGAGACAAGGTTATCTCAGTGGCAGTTGAAAGTCTGGACTTGGAGTTCAGAAGATAAAGTACTGGTTGGCAATGGAAACTGAACAACACAGACAGGATGACAAATAGGTAGCTTATGTGCCACCGACAGCCACTTCTGCACCTAGAGCAGGCATCACCAATCACGTGATATTTTTCCCCATTGAGCTTGGCTGCTCGAAGCACTGTGATTCAGGCAGACATGAGCAACAGATTGAAGCTGGGATGGAAGCTGAAATATTCCTGATGACGGTCACAGACATGATGACTGAAGCCACGGAGGAGTAGGGAGTGTCCTCGGGTAGAAAGTGAACAGCTAGTGAAACACACAGGTATTAAGGAGTGTTGACTGTGATGGATGATTCAAGTCCCCGTGTCCCCACTTACTGGCTGGGTTAACTTTGAAGATCGGCCTTAACTCCCTAGGTCATAATTATTGATTCGTACAACACGGATAACCACAGCACCTCATTGCATTCTGGGTAACATTACTGTCACATAAAGTGTTTAGAACAGACAGACGCATACATGATGCTCAAACAATGTCATTATAAATGGGGGTAATGGGAAGAACAGAGGAACCTGTAAAAATCAAGAGGAGTTCCCTAGAGCCTACGCCAGCCCTGCAGATGTCTTATCACCCCGAGTCACAGGAGATCCGCTGACGTTTGGGAAGAATTCTAAACTTGGCTCATTTCTCAGATTTGCCCTCTGTATTCCGTGAGCACCCTGCTTCCTCCTTCGACTCAAAGACACTTTGGGGCTGGAATCGCTGCATTGATAATACTGCCTCCTAATTTTTAACAGTTCCTCTATGTGGATTTTGGAAAAAGTGGTGAATGCTTTGATTTAGCCCAGTGGCCACTGGATCTGAGCTTCCTCTGAACGGACAGACGTTCAGTCACAGCCCAGGAGGAGAGGAAGCGGAGTTCCACTCTCTCCCAGCAAGTGGGCCCTTTCTAGTTTAGATTGCCAGGCGTGTGTTACCTGAGAGAGACCTTGTGGCCTGTCTAGCAGAGCATGTTAAAAATAAGTACATACATATAATTTGTTTATTTGCCCACTTTGCTCTTTCCCAATCACTGTCCTCAATCAGAAAGGCAGTTGTGGCCTTTTTGGTGCAGTATAGCATATAAAGTGTTTAACAACAATGTCCTCAAATTTATGTAGCAAGCATCATATTCATCTGGGTACATAAAAGATTACATTTTCTGAAGTGCCTCTCTGCCTGCCCTGCCAGCCTTTCCTAGTCTTTGCCAAGAGACTGGAGCTGCTTTCTCTTGGGCTTCCGAACCACAGAGTTGCTGTGGGTGTGTTATTTTTGTATTTACTTTGGTGTGGGGCAGAGGAGGTGGTTTTTTCACGTTATTTTTCGCTATAAATGGGACGGTAAAGGGCAGTACCCTGAATGCAAAGGGTCACACGGTTTCTCGGCCAGACACAGAGCTTGCAGTGCCCTCCGACCGTGAGAGAGAGACTCAGAGGCCAGCTGGTTTCTGGTGTGATCTGCACGCCGGCGACCTGCTGTTGGGCTCAGGATGGCTGATGTTCTCAGAAGATGGAGTCAAGGACTTGTTTTGGTCTCTCCTTCTGATTCCCTGCTGGCGCGTTGCGGTGGGGATGTGTGTCTGTCTGTGGGAGGGGGTCTGTATCTGCTTCTGACCTTGAGTACGCGGGCGAATGTTTTGGTACCGAGGAGGAGAGAGCGAAAGCCAGGAGATGAAGGGGGAGAAATAAGAGAGGGTCAGGATAAGAGGACCAGAAGTCACAGTGGTCTCACGGGCGGAAGATGGTCTGGATGATTCATCCTGTCATTTGCCCTCTGGCGTCTGTGTCTGGCGTGGTTCGAGGTTCTGGCATCTTACCGTCACCGGCTGGACAGGGTGCCTGGTCTCACAGATGTTCCTACTTAATGGGGGGACGCTGATAATAAACCAGTGATGAAATCAGGTAATTTCGGAGAAACTGGCTGGTCCAATTACTGATGGAAATACTGCCATCTTGCTCAGCAGGGCGGACTGTCTCATGCCTGAGGTTGTTCTCATCTCTGAAGATTCCTCCCCGAGGTCATCTCTGGAATACCTTTTTTTCTCTCTGGGCAGACAGACAGGCTTCTACTTTGACTCAGATCACTCTCTCTCACTTTCAGATTGAAAGTCAGTGGTTGTCAGCATCGGATGACCTCCCCTGCCCCGGCTCCACCCTGCCCCCCCCAGCCCTGGGTGCAGCCAGCAGTGTCTGGAGCATTTCAGGCTGTGAAATGTCAGGGATGCTACTAGAATCTACAGATGGCCAAGGATGCTGTCAAGCACTGTATAAAGCATGGAGCAGCCCCCAAACAAAGCGCCGTCAAGTCCCAAAGGTCAGTAGTGCTGAGACTCTGGTTTACAAGTTTATTTTCCATCGCCTCCACAGTGACAAGGCATATTTTGCTCTTACCATATCCATAATACTGACATCTTGTAGGTGTTCGCTAAGTACTTGCTGGCCGGCAGTGCCGATACACAACAGGCAGTATCAAGGGTTTGCTGTGTGAATATCTGATACAGTCTATCGCTTAGCAGCCTCCTGACTTGGAGAAGCCAGCCGACTTTTCTAAATGTCAATAGCTCCCTGACAAAGAATGATCTGACCCAAAAGCCAACTGGGCTGAGGTTGAGAAACCCTGACTCGCTTGAAGCTGGGGTCTGAGCTGACACCCACAGGACCGGGGATGGTGAGTGTGTGCTTAGGCAGGCATGGCGGTGGGATCCACCCCGAAGCCTGGCACGGGCCCTTAGGGAGAAGACCTCCCTGCAACTCCTTGGCTTCCTCCCCAGGAAACTTGCTCCCATCCCAGACAGTGAGCTGGAAACCAACAGAGCCTTCGCTGGGGGCTGCCAGGATGGGTTTTCTGCAGAATGGCTCGCGAGAATCCAGGGGCGGGGGAGCCCTCAAGATGCCAACATCCTTACCATCTTGGGGCTCATCCTGGGGAGATGTGTCCCCAGAAAGCCTTAGCCGCCCAGCTGCTCCCTACTCAAGAGCATTTGTTAACAACAGATCTCCTAACCGCACAGAAGCAGCCTGGAATGTACTCTGCCTCTCAGTTCTGCCCCGAAACCACTGTGCAACAACGGGAATCCACTCGCGATCCCCCAGCGGAACAGCATCGAGGCTCGAACCTGAATGGGCCGATTTTCCTGCTGTCTGAGGCATGGGTCTGGGGGAAGGAAAAGAGAAATGAAATATCTGGGAAATCGGAGACATTGTTTCAAGACAACAGTTTTTTTAGGGTGTCTGATTTACTATTCAACTGTGCGCAGCTGCTGTTCGGAAAACGGGACGCGCGCCAAGACGAGAGAGCTGGTGGGGAGGGTCTAGGGGGAGCCGGGACAAAGAGATCCGCAGCGGTGTTTGCACACTTCACGTGTTGACTCAGACTTCAAAAACAACGCCTGAGCCGCTGACCCCTCCCGAGAAGCCGATGGCTGACGTCTCTCGAGTTGCCATCTATCTGCTGAACGGTGGCCTCCCACCTACGTAGCTCTTGCCTCCTTTGTCTTCATTAAAGAGACCGAGGAGACCGCCCTGCCCTCACAGTGCACGTTTTTTTAATCAGTGCTTCAGCAACTGCTGCCTCGTTTTTCTTCTGTCTTCTTCATGCTGGTGTCGAGACGCCCACACGTTGGCGCAAAAGACTTTTTTTTTAAATTCAGGTAAAACTGATATAACCTGAACATAACCACTTTTCAGTGCAACTCTGGGGCATTCTGAACATCCACGACACTGTGCAGCCATCATCTCTTTCTAGTCCCAGAACATCTTCAACCCCCAAAGAAACCCCGCGTCTGTGGGGCAGCTACTGCTCATTTCTCTCTCTCCTAAGGCCCCTGGAAACCACGGACGTGCTTCCTGACATTACGGACTCACTCATTCTAAATATTTCATACAAATGGAATCACACGAGAGGTGACCTTCTGTGGCTGGCCTCTTAAGAGTTTTCGAGGCACAACCATGCTGCGGCCTGTGCCCACGCTGTTTCTTTTCATGGCTGAGTACTACTCCATTTTATGGATATACCACATGTCACACTTTGCCTATCCATCCATCCGTCCATGGACATTGGGCTCCTTCCACCTTTTGGCTGGAGTAAATGGTGCTCTAGTAATAGTCACGTGTAAGTATTTATTAGGAGACCTGTTTTCCAGGTAATACATTTAGAAATGGAATTGCTGGGCCATATGATGTTTAACTTTTCAAGGAATTAGAAAGATTTTTTAATGCCCTCATTTCCCAACCATCCTTGGTTTCTCATCAGCTAGTAAGTCCCCCACCCAGGAGGAGCCCAGGGCTAACCCTGATACACCACCTGAGACGAGCTGGCTCTGCCTGGGAAGGAGGCGGCTGAGGAGAGGCAGAGGCCCCAGGGGCGCCCCTCTTTCTTCGGCCACCACAGTAGTTAACTACCCACTCGGCATGACACTGGGTGCTCAGTCCCATGAGAACCCCATAGAGGAGGCTTGACTTTGTCAGTCTTTTCAAATGAAGAAACAGGGATTCAGAGAGATGAAACCAGTCACCCAAGGATACACAGCTAAGACATAAAGAGCCTTGAAGTGAAGTGAAGTGAAGTCGCTCAGCCGTGTCCGACTCTTTGCAACCCCATGGACTGTAGCTCACCAGGCTCCTCGGTCCATGGGATTTTCCAGGCATGAATACTGGAGTGTTTTGCCATTTCCTTCTCCGGGGGATCTTCCCAACCTAGGGATCGAACCCAGGTCTCCCCCATTGTAGGCAGACGCTTTACCGTCTGAGCTACCAGGAAAGCCTTATTAAGAGGCTTAATAAGAGCCTTAATAAAGAGCCTTATTAGGCCTAAAAGCATAAACAAACCTAATGGCCTATTTAGACCATTTCACCAGGCTCAAAAGGCTGCCTAAAGCAAGGCCCTTCAGGAAGAACTGCCCTCAGCTGGAGGGGAAACCCCTTCCCTTTTGTGGGAAGTCTGATCCAAACACTACAAAGGAGGTTTCCTTCAGCCCAGATGACAAAGGAAGGTAGGGACTGGCTTTTTCTGAATGACCATTCGGTGACCTCTGTTACAGGCAATGAATTCTTCTCCACACATTCTTCAGCCACACATTCCTTGCCCCAGTCCAGTTTCTTATCTAGAGTTTTACCCTAAGGGGGAAACAGCTACCTTCATCTTGCCTTCTCATGGACTATTCATTTTAGAGAAGAATAAAAAGGAGCAAAAAGTACCATGTCTTCCTAAGTAGTCACCTTTCCTAGCACAGGCTAAGTTCTTATGATCCACTAACACGATTCTTCCAATGGCTGTGTGAGTTTGCTGGAGGTGTTGCTTTTCTTGGGATGAGAAGTTGACATTCAGAGAGGTTGAGACACCTGCACAGAATCTCCAGGCAACAGGTGGAGGAGACAAGATTCAAAGTGAGGCCTTTCAGAATCTAAAGTCCGTGGAATGCAGGCATTCTGCCGGGTCCACTCCGGATCAATCACCTCCTATTACTGGGTGTCCTAGGCCCCTGGGCTAGGGGCTTTCACACACAGCCTCATTGAAACTTCACAAAATTTTAGTTTAAGGCTTGCACATGCTCTCACAGTCAATGTCAGCCAAAGACACTTTCATGGGGCTACTTGATGCCAAAGCCCCATGGAGTCTCCCCCTACTGTTCTATGTCCTTGGCCAACACGGCAGTGAGCTCATCCCAGGATCAGGGTCCAGGAGGGACAGCCGCCAAGGAGTCCTGCTCGGCTGCATCGTAAACTTCTGACAGCCCCTCCGCACTCGACTCCAGTCAACCACTGGCTGTGGAGCGAGCGGCTGGTCCCTACATTAGGACGGAGCTCTCCGAGAGAGAAGGTTTTCGGAATTGCTCATGGTTAGTGATTTTCCTACAATGAATTAGAAGGGAAACTGTTCTCAAGCGGGGTTTGCCTCGGCAAGAGCAGAGGCGTCTTGTCTCTGGGTTAGGACATGTGGGCCAGCAGGTGTGGAGACGGATGTGCGTGTCCTGGCTCAGGCACATGTGTGCAGCTGAATGGGCACAAATCATGTGCATGTGATCGTCTTATTTGCGAGTTGGTCGGTCTGTCAACGTGAACTAGTCCAAGTGTCTGTGCAAGCGTATTTCTGAGTACACGTGTAGCGGGTGGGTTATCAGGAGAAGATGGAGTGGAAGACTCCAGATGGAGGGTCCCCGCTGGGACTGATTCCTGAGGACCTTGGGCTAGAAGAGTCATCTCGGGTTCTCGGGTGGATGAGGTGAGTCTGTGCGTCCACGGGGATCTTCTGGCTGGAGGAAGACCACCCTCTCCCGGTGCTGACGACCTGGCTCCCTGGGCAGCGTTTCCATCTGGCCTCAGTCACTCCATGCCTCGTTCGTCTCCTGTGACCTCTAGCCCCTTGTTGTGTGGAGTTCCAGTCTTCCGCCATGGGCCCAGAGTGAAGATCTCCAAGTTCAGGCTGGTAGGGCTTCCCCAGGAGCCCTCTGGCAGGCAGAGTCCCTGCCTCCACTTCCAGATTCTGACTCAGAAGGTTCGGGTTGGGGTCCAAGAACCTGCCTGTTAACCAGCTCCCAAGTTGGTTCTGATATGTCACGGACAGTGCTGGGGGACTCTCTGGCTTGGAGAACACGCAGGGGTTGACTGACACTGTCTGTCCTTCGTGTCTAACTCCAAGAAGCTGTCTCCACCAGGCTCTGTGATTTCACTGGGGGAGCACGCTGCCTCGAACCCACAGCAGCCTGTCCCAAGACTGACCTTCATTCAACTCGGAAATCAGATTCTGCTTCTGCTTTCCCCTGAGCAACTCCAGACACAGTCTCAAACGGTCATTGTGTGACGAACTTGCACCACTCGGTGAGGATATAAATGGTCTAGCCGCGTGCTTCTTCTCTGAAGCCAGTTACACAACAAGGAACAAGAAGTCTTGTGCTTCAGACCAGACTCGGCAAACCCCTCTCTCCTGGAGTCCACAGAGTCTCCTGAATTTAAACACATTTTCAAAGTTAAAATTCCATCTTGCTAAATGCACAGAGTAGTCTTTCAGAGTGAGGATTTATAATACCAGTGATGGTCTTCTTCCCCAGTGGAAGTGACTTTCTCAACTTCCCACATGGAATCGTAATATCAATTGGAAGTTTCTTTTTTTTTTTTTAAACTTTTTATCCTTTTAACCTCTCTAAATAGGTGAAGGTAGGCTGACTTGCAAAAACTAGTTGGCAATCCATTTCTTCATCCTCATCTACCAAATTCTGATTTCATATGACATTGGAATGCAACCTACAGACCCTAAAAAGGGTGTGTGTGGGAGGGGGAGGGGAGACTCATTTGACAGTGTTACAAGGAGACAAGCTGGAAGCAAACATTTGACACTCCAGCCCTGGAATGCTGTAAAAATTTAATTAGGTGGATCCATTAGTCATGCCCACATGGAGGTTTCATACGGGACTTACAAAAATGCAGGCTACCGAAGGGAATGTTCAGTCCTTCCTGTAAATGCCATTTCCCTCGTTATTGGGAAATGTGGTCTCGGTGGGACCACCGAACCAGGTTTTGTATTTACAAAATATGGTTAGGACAAGATTAACAGTGTGAACTGAGGCGGTTTTCAAATTCAGGTAAGGAATGACTTTTTAGAAGAGAGTTTGGGGTTGAGAAACCATTCTGGAGCCCACTGCCTTTCATGACTCCCTGACATGGATTTTTATGTTTAAAGGTACTTGGAGTGATATAACATGGTTGAATTTGATAGGACAAGCATGCATCTATTTTTAAGTTGAAAATATATAGGCAGTCTTTCCAGTTCTAAAGGAACAGCTGGTGGCTGAATTCAGAAATCAAACTTTGGGGTTTCAAGTCCTGGGCTACTGACACCTTGATTTGCGAGCACACGTTTTCAATTTACAAACGGTATTATTTTGAACTTAAGTCTCTGCTTGGTCACTGTGGTTGAAAACAGGTAGACGAGGAAGATACGTTTTGCAGCTAATCACATGGTGATATTTTGAAAGAGGCTGAAACGTAGCTCAAGACCCTTAGCTCTTAATCGGTCTGAATCACATGAGACTGCCCACGTGACTGTGGCACTGTCTCTTCAGAACCATGGGACTGGGGCTAAGAGGGCCTAACGACTCAACTGAAGAGGAAAGGGTTTGGTGTGGTATAACATTATGGTTCTGGGGCCACGGTCCCCTAGAGATCGACTGTGGATTGACTTGTCTTTCTTCATCTGTACGCATCCACTTCTTTACTCATGTTATTATGTCAACAAACATGTATATCTATATATTCTGGGTTGAGACATAAAGTTTAATAAGACACAGTCCATGCCCTAGAGGAGGCCACTGTCTAATGGAAAAAACTGATGTATAAACACGTAACTACAGTGCAGTAATAATAATTACATTACTCTTCACTGAGTGCCTAGGACCAAGCAGTTTACATACATTAGTTCTTGCATCTTTAAAAGTAACTCAGCAAGACGAGATTTTCATTAAAAAAAAAAAAATAGACAAAGAA